TATTTAAATCACCATATTGTAATTTCTGCACCGTTAAAGGGCATCCACCCCCCAATATTATTAAATGTATGCTTCATCTTTCATTTTAAATTCCTAAATTCGATCAATAAATTCAATTATTTCGAATAATAAGACACTATATGGCTGTTAACTTAGCATAAAACACCTGCAGACAGAAACAATCTCGTTTAAATAGCAGATCACACGTCGAGGACGCACATTTTGCTGCAAAACCGGGAGTTTCTCATGCGCATTTTCCGTGACCACAAAGCGCACGTAAAGAACGCGAGCTTTTAGATTGTATTTATTTGCACATATAACATTTAAAATACAACTTTACAAATCCATTAACGAAAAAAAAAAAAAAAACTGTGCGGGAGAAAGTGAGAAGACCATGAGGTCTTATAAAACCACTTCTCCAAAATCTCATTAAAATGGACATAAAATTACATAATCAAGCAAGACAATGTAATCAATACATCAATCGTGTTAATACAACAAATTAACAAAATAAACTTAATTATATGTTAACATTTTTTTTCAGCTCTCTTTTAAAAGTGTTTATAGTGATTTTAGTCTTTAAAACAGGGTCCAAATGATTCCAGAGGGAATTCCCTCTGTATTTCTGTGTAGATTGATTAGCTGTAGTTCTACAAAAGGCAAGATACAAATCTTTACAACGCCTAGTGGAATAGGCATGAACATCCGAAGAATACATGAAAAAATGATTGAAAGCTCTGGGCATAATATTTGTCATATTCACACATACTTATACATAAAAATATTTATGCAATATATGTTAACATTAAATATGGTCAAGATGTTATATTTTATAAATGTCGTCAAGATGTTATATTTTATGGCAAATCGCGCGTCCCTTGGCTGTCGAAACGCACGCGTTTGACGAGTCAATCAGACGCCTGACCGCGCGACAACGTTGCTTCCATTATGAGAACGTACATTTGAAATCACAAACTTGAGTGCGCAAAAGAGGCGATCTGTGAACGGGCCCTATTCTTTGTCTTACCAAGTCATGGTGTCCATGTGAACAATGAGCCTCGTCTACTCTCCTTGCAAGGGTGTCGAAGTCTGGACAAAATATGTACAGTGACATGACATCACTGCCAGATTCAAACTGTGCGCTCGCTGGCGCTGAGCCAGAGATGGACGCGCTCAGCGCTTGTCATATCATATAAAGTGTTGGGCGGGCCGAATGGCCAAACTTAATTCATTATTATTATGAAAATTAAAAATTTAAATTGTTTTTATTAATCTGTTTGGGTGGGCCACCTGTCAATCTGGCCGCCCATAGATCCGCGCCTGTTACAGAGTACAGACGAGTGGTGTATGACGTCACAGTACTGATTCGAAAGCATACAGCACACAGTGATTGTCTTGAAACAGCTCTCTACAGAGTACAGACGATTGGTGTATGACATCACAGTACTGATTCGAAAGCATACAGTGATTGACTTGAAACAGCTCTCTACAGACGATTGGTGTATGACATCACAGTACTGATTGGAAAGCATACATCATACAGTGATTGACATGAAGCAGCTCAATACAGAGTACAGACGTTTGGTGTATGACATCAGTACTGATTCGAAAGCATTTTTTTTTTTATTTTTTATTCTGAAACAATATTCTCATGAGTGATCAATCAGCTTTGATATTTAAATCACCATATTGTAATTTCTGCACCGTTAAAGGGCATCCACCCCCCCAATATTATTAAATGTAGCCTATGCTTCATCTTTCATTTTAAATTCCTAAATTCGATCAATAAATTCAATTATTTCGAATAATAAGACACTATATGGCTGTTAACTTAGCATAAAACACCTGCAGACAGAAACAATCTCGTTTAAATAGCAGATCACACGTCGAGGACGCACGTTTTGCTGCAAAACCGGGAGTTTCTCATGCGCATTTTCCGTGACCACAAAGCGCACGTTAAGAACGCGAGCTTTTAGATTTTATTTATTTGCACATATAACATTTAAAATACAACTTTACAAATCCATTAACGAAAAAAAAAAAACTGTGCGGGAGAAAGTGAGAAGACCATGAGGTCTTATAAAACCACTTCTCCAAAATCTCATTAAAATGGACATAAAATTACATGATCAAGCAAGACAATGTAATCAATACATCAATCGTGTTAATACAACAAATTAACAAAATAAACTTCATTATATGTTAACATTTTTTTTCAGCTCTTTTTTAAAAGTGTTTATAGTGATTTTAGTCTTTAAAACAGGGTCCAAATGATTCCAGAGGGAATTCCCTCTGTATTTCTGTGTAGATTGATTAGCTGTAGTTCTACAAAAGGCAAGATACAAATCTTTACAACGCCAAATTGGAATAGGCATGAACATCCGAAGAATACATGAAAAAATGATTGAAAGCTCTGGGCATAATATTTGTCATAAAATATTTATGCAATATATGTTAACATTAAATATGGTCAAGATGTTATATTTTATAAATGTCGTCAAGATGTTATATTTTATGGCAAATCGCGCGTCCCTTGGCTGTCGAAACGCACGCGTTTGACGAGTCAATCAGACGCCTGACCGCGCGACAACGTTGCTTCCATTATGAGAACGTACATTTGAAATGACAAACTTGAGTGCGCAAAAGAGGCGATCTGTGAACGGGCCCTATTCTTTGTCTTACCAAGTCATGGTGTCCATGTGAACAATGAGCCTCGTCTACTCTCCTTGCAAGGGTGTCGAAGTCTGGACAAAATATGTACAGTGACATGACATCACTGCCAGATTCAAACTGTGCGCTCGCTGGCGCTGAGCCAGAGATGGACGCGCTCAGCGCTTGTCATATCATATAAAGTGTTGGGCGGCCGAATGGCCAAACTTAATTCATTATTATTATGAAAATTAAAAATTTAAATTGTTTTTATTAATCTGTTTGGGTGGGCCACCTGTCAATCTGGCCGCCCATAAATCCGCGCCTGTTACAGAGTAGACGATTGGTGTATGACGTCACAGTACTGATTCGAAAGCATACAGCACACAGTGATTGTCTTGAAACAGCTCTCTACAGAGTACAGACGATTGGTGTATGACATCACAGTACTGATTCGAAAGCATACAGTGATTGACTTGAAACAGCTCTCTACAGACGATTGGTGTATGACATCACAGTACTGATTGGAAAGCATACATCATACAGTGATTGACATGAAGCAGCTCAATACAGAGTACAGACGTTTGGTGTATGACATCAGTACTGATTCGAAAGCATTTTTTTCTTTTATTTTTTTTTATTCTGAAACAATATTCTCATGAGTGATCAATCAGCTTTGATATTTAAATCACCATATTGTAATTTCTGCACCGTTAAAGGGCATCCATCCCCCAATATTATTAAATGTATGCTTCATCTTTCATTTTAAATTCCTAAATTCGATCAATAAATTCAATTATTTCGAATAATAACACTATCCACAAGTTTCCGAGGGGCGCTCCTGTAAAAAATAAAGTGGGTGAAACTTCCGGTGACGGGGCGGAAGTAGCATTCCAATGGTATTTTGTGTGTTAGTTAGCGAAGAGGCTAGCTGTTTTTCGGAGAATTATTTTACTATTTAAAGACGCAAATCTTTATGAGAGATGTCGTTACGGAGCTCAGGGACAACATGTGCTGTTCGCGGTTGTATGTATAACCGGACTAAACTAATTTAGTGGCTTAAACGGGATTGTTTTGAACATAAGCTGAAAACGAAATCAGAGTGATCCTCCCAGAGCCTGTCTCTGATCCTGCCAACGACTGTAGTTTCCATCACCTCCCAAAAGACGACGAATCTTCCTGTGTACATTTGTTTAAATTCTTAATGTTCTATAAACTCTATCAGCATGTGATTGGCTGTTCGCTACTGATGTTACACCTAAACTCAGGATCAAAGCCTGTGTTGACAGAATACCAAATGTGCCAGTTAATGTATTCAAGCAGCACATTCATTTATAATTTTGAATAAACTCCAAAGCACAATGACTAAGTGTGTGTTTTTTATTTGAATTGTTTGTCAGCTCGCACAACTGTCTGTCACCATGCCTTGATGAGTATTGATTATTAATAATGTTATTATAATACTCCCAATCAACTACTGCGGAGGGTAACTGTTATTTCACCCTTTTGAATTTCGTTGAGGTTGTGTTCCCACATCGTTATCTAGTTTGGATCGCTATAACTTGAATGACTGTCAACTGTTGAATGAACGAGTGTGAAGTATGTCAAGTTGCGCTTTGTTTTCTTCCAACCGGAAGTCGCTCCCACTTTTGACGCAAGGCCTCATGGGTCGTAGGAAACTTGTGGATATGGCTGTTAACTTAGCATAAAACACCTGCAGACAGAAACAATCTCGTTTAAATAGCAGATCACACGTCGAGGACACACGTTTTGCTGCAAAACCGGGAGTTTCTCATGCGCATTTCCCGTGACCACAAAGCGCACGTTAAGAACGCGAGCTTTTAGATTTTATTTATTTGCACATATAACATTTAAAATACAACTTTACAAATCCATTAACGAAAAAAAAAAAAAACTGTGCGGGAGAAAGTGAGAAGACCATGAGGTCTTATAAAACCACTTCTCCAAAATCTCATTAAAATGGACATAAAATTACATGATCAAGCAAGACAATGTAATCAATACATCAATCGTGTTAATACAACAAATTAACAAAATAAACTTAATTATATGTTAACATTTTTTTCAGCTCTCTTTTAAAAGTGTTTATAGTGATTTTAGTCTTTAAAACAGGGTCCAAATGATTCCAGAGGGAATTCCCTCTGTATTTCTGTGTAGATTGATTAGCTGTAGTTCTACAAAAGGCAAGATACAAATCTTTACAACGCCTAGTGGAATAGGCATGAACATCCGAAGAATACATGAAAAAATGATTGAAAGCTCTGGGCATAATATTTGTCATATTCACACATACTTATACATAAAAATATTTATGCAATATATGTTAACATTAAATATGGTCAAGTTGTTATATTTTATAAATGTCGTCAAGATGTTATATTTTATGGCAAATCGCGCGTCCCTTGGCTGTCGAAACGCACGCGTTTGACGAGTCAATCTATGGAAAGCCATTTGGTTCACATTTCGCCACTTTCCAAACGCGTTTCATTCTCAAAACGCCGGTGTTTACGGCGTTTAACACGAAAAGACGCCGCAAATTACGGCGTATTGTGGTACAAACGGTGGTTCAAAAAAATAAGAAACAAAAACAACAACCCACGGATGGCCACAGGTTACCTATATCGTGAAGGCAGTAGTCCTGAAAAGTGCTCTCACCACAGCAAAACTCACAGCAATCACACTGCATCCCTAAAGGCAAAAATACAAATAAAGTGACCAACACCACACGATCCCAGCCACCTCACCACCGCCATCCATACAGTGAGGGTAACCACGCAGCCATCGTTGGGAAAAAAAGAAATCTACAAAAAGGAAAGAAAAACAGATTAACCGTGGGTAATGCCAGTAGGACAAACAAGTCAGCAGCACCATTGAACCATCACACTTAGTTTATGGTCTGGGGTTTTTCCCACTTGGTCCAACATAAGACAAAATAATAAATAAACCAAAGAAAATTCAATCAAAGTAAACAGTAACCGTTCATCCCTGTAAGGGAAAACACAATTAATTACAACAGGGAATTATATACAATGTACAAAAAACACAAAATAAAACCCAATATAAATTATGCACAGATGGAAAAACATTATTAAAAGTTCCCTTTAATAAAACAATACCTCAAACATCCGATATTTCTGACTGGCACTCAGGCAACAATCAGTCAGGCAATAATCCGGCAAAAACACTAAAAACCAAAGAACAATAAAATGATTAAAACAAAATCCTAAAAACAATTAGATAAAATAATAAAACTACTACCTCCTAAATGGTGTGCAACAAGTACTCAGCTCTCCATGACGTTAACATAGCTGCTTATCTGCTACTATCCTTCTGAAGGGCTCAATCTGTCGTGACATGCACACTAGTGATGTTACGTATGACACTGAAGCTTCGATGCGCGTATCACATATGCGACACAATTTCTAGTGAAGCCCCGTATCGTGGTGTGTATTGGTTTTCCCAGAGTCACGTGATCGATGACAAACGAAGCCTCACTTTCTGTCCGATCACGTGCGAGTTTCGCTTTGGGTGTCAGAAGGCTCGAACTTTAACGAGTCAATGTTGCCTCAGTCTGGTTGATGGGTGTTTGAGGAGAGTGCCGTACTTTGAAAGTTAATAAATATAATTCATTAAATAACCAACATTTATTTTTCACTACTTAAGTCTTCTTTTTTGTTTTGTCTTTTTGTTTTTGTAAAATCTTTGCACTTAAGCTTATATCTTTGCACTTAAGCTTATATTATATACACTTTAATGGGAAAATGAATTTATCAAATGAACAAATCAAACACAAACATGTAAGGTTTTTATTTGTAGACATAACATTGAAACTCTGTAGTGTGTTGTGGTTGCTTCATCTGCCAGAGCTTCTGGCTGCTTTATTTTAAATAAGCACCAGATGGCGCTGTTCTCGACACTCTCGAAGCTTTGAATCTTTTCCCGGAACAGTCAGGGGAAAGCCTCATTGCTTCATGAAGCTTCATTTCCCCATCCCTAATGCACACAACTCAATCGCTGCAAAAAGAAATAAGAGCAAACTAATCTCTCTACTTACTAACCTTTGAAGCTTTAAGTGTGCCGCCTCCACAACACACACGACATCCACAACACACGATCACGGAAAGGAAGTGAGAGGACAAACAAACCTCACTACTTCCTTATATAGCGCTGGGGCTGATGGGACTTGTAGTTCCCCAACCATGTCCCATTACAGTCTGTTATTTGCTTCTAATGTTTTAATTAATTAGCTATTATTTAACAATCAACGGATTGCCATAAACACACGTATAAGCAGCAAACATTTTTTTAGGATTAACGTTAATTAGTTAACAACACTCACTCTGTTGCTTCACACTCGGCCTGGAAACAAACACTCAGGAGGCCTTTAGAATACTCCTCTCCCCTCTTTAATCAACCAAAATGATCACCAATCACTTAATGTTCAGATTACATCATACACAACAAAATATTCTCAATGATAAACTGACATTAGTTATGATTAATCACTCACGCTTCGAGATTTATTGTCGATCGGATTTCTCCACATAGGTATGCATCTTCTCGAGTCGACAGAATTTCAAAGTTCCCACAGCACAACACACAATCCTCACAACACACTAAGACAGACTTCCAAGTCACTATATGTGCGTTTGTTGTTATTTTAACAGGCGTCTAATGGCCTCAGCACTCCACCGCATGAGCAGCACTTCAAATCACGTTGCGACCACGCGCTGTACACAGCAGAATCTCGCGATTCTTCCAGAATGTCACACATCACGTTTCTTAAAGGGCTAGCGTACTATTCCATCAATTAATGAGAAAACCCTGGAACAGTCTGTGGTGTAACTTCCCTTATCCTAGAGCATTAGTTAACCAGTACAGTAATTGGTTTGATAACTTTTGACCTGGTTACATATATATATTAAAAAGTAAGTTCAAACCTACCTTAATTTCTTCTGTATACACTTCCAGTCAAAAGTTTGGAATAGGTATTTTTAACGATTTCTAAAGGATCATGTGACAAGACTGGAGAAATTGTGCTGAAAATTCAGCTTTACTTCTTAGGAATAAATGACAGTTATTTTAATTTGTAGTTACATTTTTGTTTAAATAAATTGTAATTATATAGTCTTACTCATTTTAAAGATAGCAATTATTATGACAGACTTGCACAGAAAATGCGTGCACATCTCTGTAAATGTGACACAAACAGGCATATGTTTTGAGAGGCATATCCTAGAGAATCTATTTGTCATCTCCAGGTTTCATTGCAGTAAACTTCAAATCAAATTGCCCGGGAAGCAGTGACCTTTTCATCAATAATACAGTTAGCCTACTTGTAAAATACTGGCTGTTCATTTGCATTGAGAGTTTGATTGTTAGACGTCTTTTTATTTAGTGTATCTCTTGCATGTGTAGAGAATATTTCGTATTGCGTCTCTCTAATACAGTTAGGCCTACTTGTAAAATACTGGCTGTTCATTTGCATTGAGAGTTTGATTGAGGGACGTTTTTTTATTTATCTCTTGCATGTCTAGAGAATGTTTCGTATTGCGTCTCCCTCTCTCTCTCTCTCTCTCTCTCTCTCTCTCTCTCTCTCTCTCTCTCTCTCTCCCTCCCTCCCTCCCTCCCTCCCTCCCTCCCTCTCTCTCTCTCTCTCTCTCTCTCTCTCTCTCTCTCTCTCTCTCTCTGTCTGTGTACGTCTAACTTCTCGTGACTCTTGAGCCGCCTTGCTCCCTCCTGTCTCCCAGGTGAAAAGGAAATATATTTAAATTGTACTTATTTTGATATACTTAATGTATTTTAAGTGTACCGTATTAAATATGTATTAAATGTGCTAAATTGAAACAACTTCAAGTATATTAAGTGTACTTTAATATGTATTTAAGTTCAATTTTAAGGTAATAGTAATATATTTTATTATACTAAATTGTGCTAAAATGGAACCATTTTAAGTACATTTAATGTAATATAATAGCACTTATTTAAAGTGTATTTTAATACACTTTAAATAGAGTTTAGAAATACAGCATTAGTATATTTTTAGCTTCACATTAATGCGTTCTGAGTATATTTTAAATATAATTTCAGCTTATTAATAATGTATTAGTAGAACACTATTGGACCCACTATTAACATATTAAAAATATATTTTTCCAAAAACCATTTAATATAAAAATAATATATTTTAATGTATTAAAAATACATTTAAACATTTGAATTCAACAAAACCCAATAAAAAAAATATTTCTACAAAACACACAAACACTCTTTGAAAGATAAACTTTAATGCACTACATCAGTAAAGCATTATGAAAACTAAACAAAATACATTAACATAAAATGCATTGATTTGCAGAGGTATTAAACAGAACAAAAATAAATAAATAAATAAACTAACTGAAAGGAGTAGTTCACTTTTGAAAAAACTTTTGGTGATAATTTACTCACCCCCATGTCTTCCAAGATGTCCATGTCTTTCTTCAGTCAAAAAGAAATTAAGGTTTTTGATGAAAACATTCCAGGATTTTCTCCATATAATCACTGGGAACCAAACGGTTCAGGGTCCAATGGCTAACAGTCAATTTGTCGTGAAAGCATGAGAATTGGCTCAATTGCGAGAGTCTTGTGCTGAATGCTTGAGAGTTGGCAGCCCTGACAAATCTTTTTTCGAGTCAATTCATTCATTTCGTTCATTGAATGAACCTAATGACTCGGAAAAAGATTTGTTAATTTTGATGAACCAGTTCAAATAGGAAAATCATGAACATGCATAACAGAACAGAGCAAGGCGACCATTTGAGCTTATAAAACTTAAACTTGTGGGTTTTTTTTTTAAATGACCGATCGTTTCGCTTGATAAGACTTATTCATCGTCTGGAATCGTTTAAAGCCCTTTGAACAGTTTGCACAGAAACTGTCTTTTGGACCTTGAACCGTTTGGTCCCCAATGAAGTCCATTATATGGAGAAAATCCTGAAATGTTTTCATCAAAAACCTTAATTTCTTTTCAACTGAAGAAAGAATGACATGGATATCTTGGCATGGGGGTGAGTAAGTTATCAGCTAAAGGTTTTTTTTTTTTTTTTTTTTTTTTAAAGTGAACTAATCCTTTAAGTCAAACAAAGTGAAATACAATAGCAAAAAGTAAAGTGGCCAAATCTTGAGTAAAAAGAGAAGTTCGTGACTTTTTCGGTCTGCCATAGACTCTTTTGGGGACATCAGAAACACAGAGGGAAATCTGGCAAGAATCAAAAAAAAACAAGCATTAGTATAAACTTGTTCATTTATAATTCTAATAAAAAGCTGTCACTTTGTTACTTAATTCAGAACACTTAATGCACAAAAAGTCAGATATAATTATTATAACAAATAGGATTTTTCTTTATCATAAAGAATTTTCTAACCATTTCTGAGGTTTCAGGAAGACACAGCTCAGATGATCTTGGGCTTGAGCTGAATGAACCTCGTTTCATGGACTCCAGGGCCTCTTTGAGAGATGCTAATATCCCTGGAAGCTCTATAAGAAAAAATAAAGTCGCATGTTATACAAAGTTAGGGCAGAAAAACACTAGTTTGTGTTCTTCATATATAATTTGTATTTTGTTTAAATGGTGAAACATATTTAATGAACCATTACTGTAACTTCCACCCTATTATTAAAGTAATTATTCATTATTAATAAAGACAGAACTTTCTATTGAAAGTTACAAGTTGGTGACAGCTGATAACGCCTTGATTAAATGTAAAAAAGCTGAATACCACTCATAAAATCATATAAATCAGTCCCTCGAGAAAAACACGATTATGTGATTGCATAATTCAATGCATAATCAGGCAAAATACATATTCATTTTTCAAATACGTGTTAATATATAATAGGTCACTTAGTTACTTAGCTGCTACATGACACACTATTGCCTTTTTTTGTTGTTTTTCACCAACAAAAAGTTACAAATCAAGAGGATCAACTACTACTTACTCGACTTGACCTCATCTACTCACGGTTAGGTTTAATAAAAAAAATGTCTTTGCAATGTGCAAATTCCTTGGCTAGGCTAAATATTAAATATAAAATCTCTCATTTCATTATTTAACATCATTTTAATTTCTCAGTGCAAGATATTTAATAATTGGTTTTGTGAAAGCTTATAGTTGGTGATTACAACTTAATTTATTTATCGAATTGACATGAAAACTGACAGCCTACTAATAATTAATTAGATTTTACTATGAATTAAATATCACAGATGTGAAAGTTTTATTAGAGCTTAAAATATATTATAACATTTAAAACACAAGAAGTTACTTAGGGACAATCAAGCCTGTCGTGTAATCACCATTAATAACCTTTTTTTCTGCAAACACAGTGTGCAATGTTTTTATAGTTGTATTATGTCACTGTCTAGATCTATAACAATTAAGTTGATAGACGTCAATGGATTAACTCGCTTTAGTGTCAAATCAACAGAAACGCCAGTAATCCACAGAACATCGTCATCAACTTCTGAAAATATTTTCTAAACCCAAAGTGAGAATAAAGCCAATTATACTAATCACTTAAACTAATAAACTTACTGTCATGATGTGGTTTTGTCTTTGTCTTTGTATTATTAGTGGTTCCCTGTCTATTGAGTTTTCCAGGTGTTTCCTATTGTCCACGCCCCCTTGTTACCTTGTTAAGTTTGCTTGTCTCATTATATAAGCCCTGTGTTTATGTCTTAGTTTGTGAGTTGTTGTACGTGTGAGGTCGTTGTGTGTCACTCCCGTATCTGAGTCCTGTTCCTGAGCCCTGTTCCTGAGTCTTTGTTTAAATATGTAGTTTGTCTTAATAAAGCCTCTACACTGCATTTGGATCCAGCCTCCTTCCTGTGTTTCTGCCACATCACGGCATCGGCATCACAGAACAACTCACCTAAACATGGATCCAGCAGGTAGTAGCCAGAGCTCACTGAGCAAACTTTGCTCTCTTTATCAGAATAATCGCTGCATCGAGGATTATGTGGAGGAATTCCTTTTGTATAGCCATCTCGTTCCGGATGGAGAAGATGCATTGAAGGACTGTTTCTGGAGTGGACTGGATCTAGACATTGGTTTAAATTTACCAGAGGAGGACCCCAGTTGGACCCTGGAGCAGTTCATTGATTTTGTCCTGCGGTTTTGTGGATCTCCCTTCACTGTTGGAGAGGTAGAGAGGGATGTTATCACGACCATCATGCCCGCTGAGCCCGCACCGCTGTTCCACGTCTCAGCAGAGCTTCCAGAGCCTCGTCACGTCTCAGCAGAGCTTCCAGAGCCTCGTCACGTCTCAGCAGAGCTTCCAGAGCCTCGTCACGTCTCAGCAGAGCTTCCAGAGCCTCGTCACGTCTCAGCAGAGCTTCCAGAGCCTCGTCACGTCTCAGCAGAGCTTCCAGAGCCTCGTCACGTCTCAGCAGAGCTTCCAGAGCCTCGTCACGTCTCAGCAGAGCTTCCAGAGCCTCGTCACGTCTCAGCAGAGCTTCCAGAGCCTCGTCACGTCTCAGCAGAGCTTCCAGAGCCTGCGCTGCACGTCAGCCACGTCCAGCTGGAGACTGTTTCTGAACCGGTGCTTGCTCCAGCCTATGTCCCCGTAGCTACCCCCAAGAAAATTTTGGGGGGGGGCAGTAGGTCTCCGCCGTGGCCGCCCGAGGGGTCTTCTCCGCCGTGGCCGCCCGAGGGGTCTTCTCCGCCGTGGCCGCCCGAGGAGTCTTCACCGCCGTGGCCGCCCGAGGGGTCTTC